TATAGTTCACTACCAAGATCGTCTAAAACAGATCAAATCACACTAAGAAACTAAAACAAAGTTGGAGAGTGGAGACATACCAACCCAGACTCCAGTTAAACCATCAAGACGAGAAGCTTTGATGGAGAAAGCTGAGGAAAGAACACGTATAACTACTTCCTCGAGCATCCTGAGGTACCAATGAAGATCCATCTTGTGATTTCGGAGATTGATAATAGGATACATTACTAGCTACATTTTTTTTAAAATAAACAAATGACAATGATACTCATTAGATTACGAAATAAACTTTAATGTATTGCTGTTGGTGACATGATTTTTACCTGACCAGGGCCATGGTAAGTGACTTCACCACCACGTTCTGTTCGATAGAGATCGAAAGGAGCATTCTTTATGTCGAAATTGAGATAATCCTCTGAACTTCCTGTTCCCATGGTATAAACAGGAGAGTGTTGTAATAAAATCACTGTGTCTGAGCACTCTTGGCTTTTATCAATCAAAGCCTTTTTCTCATTGACAATGCTTTTCTGCCATGACCAAGCTTTCTTGTATGGAATTAATTGATCGTAGAGGTCAAAACACTCGCACCTGCAAAAAAAGAGTATTAAGTATCATGCATTGATGGTGACTGCACGGAAAGTGTTCGTGAAAATGCCTGAACGAATAGAATAAATCATAAAGAAGGTTACTTTCTTGGGTTTTCATGATTCCCCGAGTTTAGAATCTTGATTGATCTGTTTTTGTTGGCGTCGTTAATATGGTGATGACGAAGCAAGGAGAGGTTTAAGTTCGCAACAGAGCTTGTTGCAATTGAAAAAAACATGTCTTTCAAAGCTTTAGGCGTAGAAATTTCGAGGATGAAGAAGAATCAAAGTCCAACGATCAAGTTTTGAGTTTCGAGTAATGGCGGAGACACCGAGGAAACCATGAGGGTAATTTCGAAATATCAGAACATTCGTAGGGCTATTTTGGTCTTCTCAGGTGGAGTTTTGCCCTAGTTTCAGGGTTCACTATATATAAGAGGAATGAAACGATTCATCTCTTCAAGGCCTCTCTTAAGCATGTATTTCTGGGTTCTACTTTGTTTTTCCTTTTAAATTGAGTTTTGATTCTTTGATCTTGAAAATAGAATTTTATGTGATTTCGATTTGTTTTGAGCAAAAAAGAAAAAAAGTTGTGGCGATGACGATGAAAAAAATGACCTTTTATCACATGAGTGAGATTGATTGTTAATCTCATGATTACCTTTCAAGCACTTCTGAGCCATTTTTATTTGATTTCCTGCTCTTTTGTTGATATTTCTGGATTCTTAGTAAGTTCTTCCAAATTAAAATTATTCGGATTATAAAACTTTCTTCTTTATGCTACTACTAATCTTGTTTAGAGAAAAGCATTTAGTTGGACCAACAAAGGATACATTTATAGTCTATTGTCTATACCGTGTACTCTTTTATTAGAGCGTTTCTTTATGTGATTGATTGTGGATGTATTGTATGTAACATGGATAGCCTCGAGACTTTGTATTTCAAACTCTTTCCAAGTCCATAAGCTGTCCCATAATACCATTTACGGGTGTACCCAATACAAGAACACCATAAATTCTGCAACTACCATAATTCAAGAGACGAACCAAGAAGTTCAATACCTAAAAAAAACTCTTATCTTAATAAGAACAGTCAAAGATTGATTATACCGAGATAAATGAGCTCCGAACTGTTGAGAATTTTAGCATTCTCTCACTGTTCTTTTTGCGATATCATGCACTTGATAATTCAAGTAACACAAGATCGTTGGTTCA